TGTGTGTGTATATATTTATATTAATATAGAAATATATATGTATATATACACATATATATCTGTATAGTCATATATATATAAACCATGCAGATCTATATAGATAGATATTTGTATATCTATACAGATAGATAGATATATACATATCTTTATAGATGTATATAGTTACACAGATATCTATTTAGATAGATCTATATAAAACCACCCTCCAACTCTTCTGTCTCTGAGAATCCCCCATGGATTTAGCTCACAAACCCCGTCTTCAGCAGCACTATGAATAAGGTTTTATGTTTCTGTTTGGAACCAACTTAAACACACAGATGTTTCTTGTTTCTAGGAGCTGGGGAAATACGGTCTGCTCTATTACAATGCACTGTTTATGATCCTGCCCACCTTGACCATTGCCTACTTCACTGGAGATGCGCAGAAGGTAGGATTCCTGCCCCCAAAATGCTATCATCTATCATCATCTGTATTGGCACAAGAATTTAGGGGCAAAATGGGTTGCTGAGAAGAATGTTTTACTGTTCCTTATAATGTGCTTTGCCGTAATGTAACCTTCTTAGGAAAAATGGGAGATCCTCAACATGAGAAGCTATGAAGTAGTTTATTAGCCCCAGTTTGCAAATAGGAACTACTCAGTGTCTGAGGGAAGAGGTTAGGGCAAAGGATGGGAGAGTAACAACCCCCAAACCATGTAAGCAGTAAGTGACTCTTACGTTGGACTTTAAATCCACAAAATTGCTCCATTCTAGCATTTTTGTAACGTTTGAATGGGGAAGCGGAAGAGCAATAAGTGAAACAATAGTATTTAGAACAAAGAAGTTGAGTATTTTTAGGATAAATGAGTTTCTTCAAACTCCTTTGTGCCCTTCCCTCTTGCTGGGACAGTTAAGATGCTCTAGGGGTCAGTTTGCAAGTGCTGCCCCATCTGGGCACGATCTAACTTACACGTGGTTACATATATTTGACATTTATATTGTAGTATAATAATATTAATGATGTCATATTACTATTAATAGCAATAATTATTATGAATAATTATTGCCTTAGCTTATGTGGAGCCATAGTCAGTTTTCTCTCCTGAACAAAAGCACTCCCTTTTCACTCCTCCATGGGTGGGCATTCTTCTCCATGGTTGGGAAGGGCCAATGTTAAAGGCTGGAGGTGCTGCCCACCCAGACCCGTGTGGGGTGCTGGTGGCCTCACAGACACCCCTGTGTCTCATGAGGAGCTTAAAACCCTGATGATGAACTGCTGTAAGCAGCCACTAAGATAATGAGCTGTGATTAGTGAGGAGAGGTGATTGCAGGGGGTGAAGGGAGCTAAGACCTTGCCCTACATAACGGGTGACTCTGCCAGAGGGGAGATTGAGATGAGCTCCGAGGCAGAAGCTCTTCCCTGTGAGGGTGCTGAGGCGCTGGCACAGGGTGCCCAGAGAAGCTGTGGCTGCCCCATCCCTGGCAGTGTTCAAGGCCAGGTTGGACACAGGGGCTTGGAGCAACCTGCTCTAGTGGAAGGTGTCCCTGCCTGGGGCAGGGGTTGGAACTGGAGGAGCTTTAAGCTTCCTGCCAACCCAAACCAGGCTGGGATTCTATGATAAAGTGCTCATTTATAAGCAGGAGCTGGCGGATGAGGAGCAAAACGTTGCTCTGTGCTGCACTGTGCAGCCTCTGTTCAGCCTGTGGAGAAATCTCCTTTATTTTGGGGTTTTTTTTCCTCCCCTGAATAAACTCCTCTCTCCCTGGCCGAGCTCCTGGCAGCCAGAAGCAGACAAAGATGCACTTGTTGGGGCTGCTGCCAGGAAACCACGTTTGCAGCCTGATGAAAACCCCCCTTGTGCAGGGCGTGCAGCCGGACGTGTCCCGGGGCAGAGCCGGGCTGGGGGCTGCGTCGTGGGGGGCCACGCTGGGGAGAGGGGGGGTTTGCATGGGGAAACCTCCCCCATCCACGTGTTAACTCTTGTAGTTCATTAACCAGCATCAAAGACAAGATTTGTTTGTGAGAGGCAGAAATGGGGGTGCTGATGGTGGCAAGCAAAAGATGACTCCTGGGGGTGCCATCGCCCTGACCCTGCTCTGCTCCAGGCTGAGCAGCCCCATCTTGATGAGCTTTAAGGTCCCTTCCAACCAAACCAGTGTGTGATTCTATGATACTGTGGTTTGTAATGTATGTGTGAAATCCTCCTTCATGAGGAGGTGCGAAAGAGCTCCTGGATCTGGAGGTGATGCTGATGTGGACAGCCCCAGGACATCATCCTGAGCCATGTCATGGTTGTTTTTTTCCTGCTGTGATGTGAAAGCCAATGTCAAGGGGTTGTTTCATGTCTTGCTGTGAATTTACTGCATTTCCTTTGCCTCCTCTAAGGCTTGGGGTGTGTTTCTTGCAGGCGATGGATTACCAGGGCTGGGCAGACACATTCTTCATTGTGCAGTTTATGCTGTCGTGTGTAATGGGGTAAGGACACACACTGCTGTGGTGGTGGTTGCTGCCATTTGGTGGTCTGAGCCATTCTGGGTTAAAGAAATGATAATAAATCCTCAGTCCTGATGGGGACACCATTTCTGAGAGCTGTGGCAGATGGAAATCATTTCCTACCCTGCTTTAGTGCAGGTTTAGCTCAAAAAAGCAGTGGTATAAATACCACTGCAGAAAAGAGGGGGTGAGATGGGTGGTGATGCACAAAGCATGTCCTGAAAGCTGATGTTGACTCTTCTTCCTGCAGGTTTATTTTGATGTACTCCACGGTTCTTTGCACTCAGTATAATTCTGCTCTTACAACTACAATAGTTGGCTGCATTAAGGTAAGTGGCTTTCCCTGCTCCTTGTCCACCAAGAGCAGCCTTGGGGCATCCGCAGCATCACTGCATCCGCTCCCACATAGCATCCACATGGTGCATTCACACTGTGCATCCTCTGGCTCTGCCTACACAGGCACAGGGGCTCTAGGACTTTCCCCGTGTGCTGCACAGAGAGCAGGGCAGATCCAATGGGATTATTTTTTTTAATGTATTAATTTCTTTGCTGCTGTCTGGAGTAGAGCAATACTCTGTGCATGGTTGCATGGCAAGGAGCTGTGTGTGGTGCTGACTGTGGCTGGTGCATTCAGCTTCCCCAGGGTTAACGATGTGGAAAACACCCAGAAACAGCCACAATCCCTGTGATCTTCTGGACCATTCTGGCCCAACAAGCCCATTGCACAAATAGATGGGTGCTCCTGGGTGTTATTGTGGGTTCTAGTGCCCAGCAGCGGGTGGCTGAGGCTGGTCTGGAGTGGAGCCTCTGTTCTCTGCCCAGAGAAGCTGTGGCTGCCCCATCCCTGGCAGTGTTCAAGGCCAGGTTGGACACGGGCTTGGAGCAACCTGCTCTAGTGGAAGGTGTCCCTGCCCGTGGCAGGGGTTGGAGCTGGAGGAGCTTTAAGCTCCCTTCAACCCAAACCATTCCATGATTCTATTAATCCAGCCTTGTTAACACTTGCATGTTCCATGCTTCCTGCACCAGGGGGTCACGTTTCCATAGTGGTTAATGCACTGAGCATAACACTTGTGTCAGGCCGTACAGAAACTTGTGCTCTTGCTCCTCAAATCTTGTTCCTTTGCAGAATATTTTAGTAACCTATATTGGGATGTTTTTTGGAGGAGACTATATTTTTACATGGATGAACTTCATTGGTCTAAATATCAGGTAAGAACATCTTTGTTCATAGTTTTTATTTATGATTTTAAGTGAAAACAACTGCTGTCGAACTGGAATAGTTTGACAGGTTCAAGGCTTCTTTCAAAGAAACCCCTATGGAATTGGTATCTATCTGTGCTATAGCAGAGGAACCGGCATGGTTTCAACCCATGTCTTGCAGCCTGGTATGAGCCCAGCACCACTCAGTCCCTGCTCCCAGCCCGGGCTGGAGGAGCTCCTGGATGGACTCGGGTTGTTTTAAAGCCCAGAGAATGCATGAGCATATTTTAGCAGCAAACTAAAGCTGTTCTCAGCATTGCAGATGGGAATCATATAATTAAGGCAGCAAAAGCAGCATTCTTGACTTTATTTCAGCTGGTGTTTTAGCACAGCTTTTGGGGAAGTCGCCTTTCTGTGTTGTGAATAGCAGGATCCCTTCCGCAGGTCCAGCACTAGGTTAAGGACTTGGGCTGGCAATGTTGGGGCAGGAATTAAACCCAATGTCTGGTCTTAGGAGGCAAATGGAGGATTTTCTTGCCAGTTGATGCTTGCAGGAGATCCTTGACCATGGGTATGCCCATGGTGTTGACCATGGTCTCTGTCTCACGTTGTCCCCACTCCTGTTTTGCAGTATTGCTGGAAGCCTGGTGTATTCCTACATCACTTTCACGGAGGAGCAAATGAGCAAGGAGTCTGAAGCTGGCAGCAAGATGGATATTAAAGGAAAAAGCTCTGTGTGACCAGGCAGAGGCTTTTTTTAGGAAGCAATCTATTTCTGTTCAGCTGATCACGGGCAGAATGTGGGAAGGAATCCAGGCGTCTGCCACGGAGTAACAGTGATGCTCTTAATTTGCACAATCTATCTCGATGGCTGCCTTTACAAATCATTGGGAAGGTAACTGACTGCACCGTGAAGAAGACATCTAATTCAGACTGATCATGAGGAATTAATGGGGTTCTAATCACGCTGAGATTTGGCAGAAGTGATTGGCACAAGCAGCATGTGTTTGTATGGTGGAGGACTGTGTTGGCTCTGAGAGCTGTTCCATGAGCATCCTCGACCACATCCCATCTCGGTGCAGCCACCACTGGGGTGGATGCTGGTGCTGCCGAGGTGGCTTTTATGATGGTCAGGGACATCCCCACAAGAAGGTTTTATCTCCCACTGTTGAGCTTGGCAGGGCCACAGCCTTCCTCAACCCACCCCAGGATCAGAAACTTCGGATTTGGGAAAGCTGCTGGCTGTGCTGGGGCAGGGACCATCACAGGGTGCTTTGGATCCAGTGGGGAGCAGATGCAGGTCTTCAGTCCAGAAAATCCACTGCTCCTGCCATCCCCTTCCCACCCAGAAGAATCTAGAAGAGGCCCAGGGACTTGAATCCCAGAATCCCAGACTGGTTTGTGTTGGAAGGGAGCTTAAAGTCCCGCCAGCTCCAACCCCTGCCACGGGCAGGGACACCTTCTACTAGAGCAGGTTGCTCCAAGCCCCTGTGTCCAACCTGGCCTTGAACACTGCCAGGGATGGGGCAGCCACAGCTTCTCTGGGCACCCTGTGCCAGCGCCTCTCAGCACCCTCACAGGGAAGAGCTTCTGCCTCAGAGCTCATCTCAATCTCCCCTCTGGCAGGTTCAAGCCATTCCCCTTGTCCTGTCCCTCCATCCCTTGTCCAAAGCCCCTCTCCAGGTCTCCTGGAGCCCCTTTAGGCACTGGAGCTGCTCTAAGGTGTCCCCTTCAGGAGCCTTCTCTTCTCCAGCTGCCCCAGCCCAGCTCTCTCAGCCTGGCTCCAGAGCAGAGCTGCTCCAGCCCTCGCAGCAGCTCCGCGGCCTCCTCTGGACTTGCCTTGTTTTGACAAGTCGATGGGAGCTGCCTGGGGCTGGGGCTGGGTGGTTGGTCCCTGCAGCACTGAGCACCAGCACTTCTGCCTTGGCCAAGCCCCATCCTTCAGGTCGCAGTGGTTTTGATATTAAATTGGTTTTGGTTTGTGACCCATTAGAAGAATGGGGTTTTTAATACACTGAGCAGTGTTAACTGATTTTTAAAGGTTGTTTTACACAGCACTTCTTTCTAGGTCTCTCCTTGGATTGTCTTTTGGTTTAAAAAGAGTTGTTTATAACTTTGGTTAAAAAACACCATTTTGGTAAAACTATGTATTTATGAATTATTTTGTATACACTGCTTTAGTAACCAGGAAAACAGCTTCTACAGACACTAGGATTTGTTTCTGGAAGGTATTCCCTAAAACCTTCACTGCTGTTGGGCAAAGCTGCATCTATGTTAATGCTGAACATTGAAGTTTTCACATGTGATGGGGAATGTCTGCAGCAGTGCTGCAGAAGGCTCATGTGCTGGTGTGAGTCTGCTGCTGCCTGCTCCAGAAATCCCACTTCACCTGCAAATCCCTTCCTTTTTTGCCATATTTGCCTGTCATTTGGCTGTGCTGAGGCGGTTGCAGTCAGGATGTCCATTCTGTCAAAGGCTTTGATGGGGTTTTGGGTTATTTTTTGAATCTACTGGTTAGATTTGTTTGTCCAAATGGTAAGATATTTTTTAAAGCTTATTTTGTTTGTAACCAGGCACCCTTCAGTGCCAGGCTATGGATGGTATTATATACACTGGGAAAGCAAACAGAGTTCCTACCACACTATTTTCTATGCTGTTAGTCAACTAAAATTGTTTTCTACATAGACTCTATTTACAAAATGACCATTTTAGTGATTAAAAGGGTGACCTTTTGATTTAAATGTATGGCAGGCTTTGTATGTCAGTCAGTAATGAGAGCAAAAAGAAGTTTATGTGCCTATGTATTTTTGTACTGGCTTCAAATAAACCGATGTCCTTCCTTCCTCCTACTCTGCTACTCCTGCCTTCTGCCAGTAGCTGGCCTGTGCTTCCCTGGAGCAGCAAGAAAAGGCTGGAGATGGTGACAGTAACAGGGATGCAGCAGGTTTGTTGTCCCTTGTGCGTATGGGGGGAGGGAGTGGGGGGTGAGGGAGGTCTCTTGGGTTTTCAGCTTTGACTCAGATGTTAAAATTAACTAAGTCACAACCCACAATGAACAAAGTCATAACCCACAGCTCACCCATTGCTGCCTTTCCTCAGTGTCAGCACCAACCTTCCTCTCTTCTCTGCCTTCCTTTATGTGATGCTGCCTTTATGAAAGCCCACAGGTCTCTGGGCTGCCCCTCCAGCTGCTCAGCTATCACCAGTGCTGGGCTGCTGCTGCCCTGGGCCAGTGCCGGGGAAGATGGATTCAGGAGCAACCTTGAGAGAAAGAAACAGTTCAAAGTTTAACCAGAAAAGGGTATTTTGTTTCTGTGGTTTTTACCACGCTGCTAAAACTGGGTGGGTTCTTCACCTCCTCCCTAAGCAGAAATCCTCAATCCGGTGCTTTGAGCAAAAAACCTCAGGAATTCTTTCTGCAGACAAGTTATGTTTAAAAAATAGTTTAATAAGCTTTTTCAGAATCGCAGACAGAGGCAGGGGGGAAAAGAGAAGGGAATTACTAACAGTGCAAAATTACTATGTGTGGAAAATGTATAAAACTAACTCGTAAGTTTTGTGTGTGTGGTTGGTTGGTTTTATAATATCCCATTTAATCCTTCAGGAAGCCCAACAAAGAGACTGACTCTGTTGAACTGGGCTCTCCGTTCAGGCTGCAGTCTTAAAGCACTTCATCATGACAGCACTTCAAAAACACACCCAACTCGTGATGTGAGGCTTCAGTGCAGTTTGGAAACAAGGCTCCGAGCTCCGAACTGCACCGAAGGCTTTGCAAATGAAATCAGAGTTACTTTAGTTCTAGACTTTTAAATAGCTTTAGTAGTGCAATGACTTATCAAGTTAGAGTGGCTGCAGTTTGAAGAACATGAACAAAGTACTGTATAGAACACCAGCAAAGCAAAATGTAAATCAGAATTAAATACTCTTAAAGTCTAGCTGAGCATTACAGAGCTGCTGATTATGGAATGTCAGGTCTCTCCTATGTGTCACCAAAAGAAAGGTAAGATAAAACAAAGCAACATTCCTGCAAATATACAGAGTGCTGTACTTCACACACAAGCCTGAGACAATTGACTTACTTAGAAACTTTCCTATAAGGTTTTGGAAGCAAACAAAACTGCATCAGAATAAAACTGAAAATAGGACTCTAGTTGCAAAAGACTCTTGGAAGCACTGCACCACCTTCAGTCTGAAACCGTCTTGAGACCGTCTTTGATCCAAGGCTGTGATGCTTTGGGTTTGATGAACCAGACTGGGAAGTTAAATAAAACAATCACTTCATTACTTGACTAATGCAGGCTGGAGTTAGCAAACCTCTCTGCTGTGCCTCTCCATGCGAGTTGCTGGCTAGTTCTAGGCAGATGTCACCTTCCACACGTCAGCTGGAGCAGTCAGAATGGATCATTCACAGCACTTCTGGGAACAGCAGGTTAACAGCTCCTGTAACGCATCATGGTGACAGAACCAGGCCGGATCCAGAGGATTTGGCTCATTAATGACCATAAAGTCCAAGTAAACGGAGTTGAAGAAGAAAAGAAACCAAGCAAAACCTTTAGCAGTGGGTTTAGGGTAAGTTTCAGACCATAGGACCATACATTTAAAACTGGAACCATAAAGACTCACACACATGAAGTGAAAATAACCCATTAAAAATGGCCTGTAAGCCACAGGAGGAGGAGGACACAAGATGATAAATTATACAAATGAACAATTTTTCCTATTTTTTTTTAAATATAGTAGATGTGGCTTTAAAAAATAACAATAAACCAAAACACTGGTATTAAAAACTTCCTATTTCATGGATGTGAACCCTACTTGAACAACTCTCAGATTCTGCTAGTGGGATGGTGAGCATCACCCCCTCCACGTACATTATAAAGAGTTCTCCTTTCTCCCACTTTAAGCTTAAAATCCACATCTACTCTCATTTATTACATGTAAAGCTCTATATGCTGAGTGTATCTTCTGTGCCATGCACATGTTTGTGATGTTCCTGCTCCCACTGAAACACCCATCCAGACAAGGCCCACTGGTTGTCACATTCCAGCCCAGGTTCCTGGCTGCGTGTCCGTTTCCAAGCTGTACAGCCAGACTCACTTCCCACTTCCCTACCCTTCCTGTGCTCGGTGAAATGTGGAAGATGACAGACAAATAGCCTGCAAATAAAGCAGAGGATGAGCTAACACCTGATCCTGGTGAAGCATTTGGCTGAGGTGAAATGTATCTATCTGCTTTAAAAAGAAAAGAGACCATGGCTAAGGGAAGTGAGGGACTTTGTGCAACGCAAGCATCATGCTTAACACATCTTTAGCATCACTATTTGCCATTAAAAGTAAGAAAAATCATAGTTTTCAAAATCAAATGACTTGTAACCATTCTTGATGTCAAGTGTTGACTGTTCTCTGAGAAGAAAATAACATGGTGGTGGCTAAAAAGCATCTTTTAAGTTGATTGGTTTGGTTTAGGGGGGTTTTTTTTGTCTTTTTTTTTCCTAGAAAAGACTTCAGCAAAATAAAAGGAAGCTGACATTAGACTCAGGATATCAATTCTCTCATAAAAGTTTACCAACTGTACAAGTTAAGAAAATTATACAAGCTTTTGTTTTAAGAAAGGACAGTTCAATCAAGACATAGGTACTGTAAAAATCTTTCAAAGGCTACAAAGGAATCTGGAAAAATACAGAATGTATTTCTTTAGCCCAGATAAAGAATATGGAAAGACATCATTGATGTCAACAATTTTACATAGACAAACCTGACCTGGTTTATTTATTTACCTTTTAAAACTTCTATATATAAAAATAGTTGTGCTCATAACTTTCAGGATTCATAAGGGTTCCTTAACAACGGGATGGCGCTTTCCTCTCGCTAGCATGAGTGGAAGTCTCGGTGCCTGCTCTGATGTGTGTCTTCTATTTCATTTGAACCTCCTGCAAGGTTTGAACCAGCCCCCTGCTTCAAATAGGATGCTTTGTTCACTTGTACAATGCTTGAGTGGTCTATTACACACAGAAGTTTCTTTAAACGGATTAGGCTGGGAGTATTTTTGTAGAAACTCACTGATTTGTTTCACTAATGTTTTTAAGAGCCTTATTGTTGTTCCCAGAACTGCAGTTGCCAGCTCTGAGAAACAGAATATTCTCCTACTGCTCTTCAGCACTGAATAAACCCCCAAATAACCAGATCTTAAGAGCCAACTAGAAGGTATAAGGAAAAAAATCTCAGCAGATTGTTTTAGGGAACTGGATTTTGTAAGGTAACCCATCAACCCTGAAAATTTTAGACACCCAAAATTTACTCCAAGGAATAAAATCAGCTCCTAGCACTCAGTCATCCAAAGTTTCTAGTTCTTCAAGCTTCCCGTGTGAATTTGATTCTTGGAAGAACTCTGAAGAACCTGGGCTCTCTTTGCCATTGCTGTTAATTCTTCTTCTTTTTAGAGGTCTTTCATTTTTTTCTTCAAAATCGTTCTCATTTCTTGAAGCTGAATGAGCAAGTTTTGGGTCAATGGAAAGGTTCTCAGTCTCATACCCATTTGTATCCAGATCCATGTGAGGTGTTTTCTTCCCACTGGTAGGTCCATTTACATGTAATCCTTCAGTTTTTGCTTCATCTTTGCTTGGTACCTCACCTGGGCCATTAGCAGACACCCCTGTGTTACAGAACACAGTGTAAGACACAGAATAGAAACGTCAGCAGTAACAGAACAATATGTGACAGGTCAACAGAGCAGCAGTCTAACTAGTCCCATTGAACTAAAAAGCCAATACTGTTCTCCATAGCCTTGCTGTGTGATGGAAAAGTGATTTATTTGCATACAAACGACAGGCTTATCACGATGGGAGTTTATGGAAGCCCTTATAAGCAACACAGCCAAGAAAATGTCCTGGAATCCCCTGACTGTACAAGCTGCAGGGGGACTGTCCTCACCTGGGCAGTTTCTGTAGCTTCCACTTGACTTTCACAACCTGATTCAGCCCCAATCTCCTCCCTCCTCCTGCTACTGCTTTCAGCAGCTCCTTTGGAAGGGCTGTCCCTTGCTTTCGAGGTTTTCTTCCCACATGAGTGATCATGTCCTGGCTCTTTTCCCGTTCCTAACTGCCCTTCAGTGCCCCACGCCTGGAAAGAACAGCCAATGGTGTTCCTGTGAAACGCAAGGGAGTAGCACTAGTGCTACCCAACAGCCCAGTTCCCATCTCAGTCCTGCACTGCCTAAATGCAAAGGTGGAACTGTTTTAGAAACATTTTAAACTCCAAGGTTCTAACACCTTGGGAAACATACAAAACTAAAATAGGTTTGTTTTTCCCACTTGGAATGTCACCTGTGATGATCTGGCAACTCTGTTTCGGAGGCACAGGGCAGGCACTCACCGTTCTGATTGCTGCTGCTGGTTGTGCTGTCTTCCCTCTCAGACTGGCTGGTGCTGCTGTTGGAAGTTGTAGGAGGAGGGGATGGAGCTCTACTGGATGCAGCACTTTCACTCTCATCCAGGAGACGGTCCATATAATCCCTACACAACAGAAACAGCACAGTCAGCTTTGCCCTTGCAGTGTAAAGCACTGGTGTTATCCGCACAAAAATATTCCCTGCACATACTGCAAGTGTGACCAATTCCCATTTTCTATCTGTTGAAATGCACAGGCTTATCTTGCAAAGTTGACAACTTCAGTATCTCACAGGTTAACTTCCCCAGGTACAGTTTGTCCACAGCAACTATGTGCTTACTGACCAACCTCCTTTATATATATATATAAAAAGCCAGCTTCTATAAATTCAGTGTGCTTATGCTAAGTCCCATAAGATCATGTCCAAGCAGGAACTTCAATGTGCTGTGACGCTGTGGAGTCTGTTTTCAAGGTGATGCTCTGATGCTCTCAGGCAGGTTTGTACTAAGCTCTTGCAATTTGCTGCAGCAGCAATAACATACCATTAAGGTACAAAGCAATAACATACCATTAAAGTAAATAAGTTTTGTGCATGTACAGCCTCAAGAAGGCCAAAGTTAAAAGCAAATGAAAAGCTTCAGAGTGAAAGACGATTTCCATATCTGAAATCTATTACAGTCCTACAATTTAGGTCACTAATAGTAAATCTCTTATGAAAGATTTAAACAACAAAGCTGGTTGGTAAAGCCCTTGTAGTAGCCTGGATTAGCTCCAGGAACAGCACAGCCTCACACATAATTATTCTGGAACTGATACTGCACCCTAAATTCCCACATCTATCTGCAAAATCAGTCAAGAATAGACAAGTACAATCCTTAATGACACTTCTGATCACCATATGCAGATAACTGCAAAAGAATCAGAGAATGTTTGAAGTGATTAACAACCAAAAATGTCCATTTGGGAAAAAAATGGGAAAAAAATAAGATGGAAGAAAAGGGAGAGACAGACAGTCCCTGACAACTGGTTAAGAAAGCAGCAGCTTCTCTGTAACAGTTTGCTTTACAAAGCCACAGATGGCAACTCTTAATGTCATACTGCAAGTTCACTTCAGTGGTCCAACACACAGTTCAAAATGGTTAAAGAAACAGTAATACTACACAGAAGGATCAACAGAAGCCAGAAACAAACAAGGAATAAAAATAATAGCAGAAAGACTTGGAAAAAGTCAGCGGAAGGAGTGGGATAGTAAAATCACTGCATTGGAATGAAGGGCAGAAGAGTATGTTGGCTCACTTGCTCAGATTTGAGAGAGGAGAATACATAGTTACACACATCCCCTCTTTGCCTGAGATGTGAATGGGGAAAGGAGCTACGTACACCCCAAAGAAGTCCCAGTATAGGGCACTGCGTTGGCCAGCTCTTGCCAAGCAATACTTTCCAAGAGTATACTACAGCACAAATCCCACCTGAAACTTGTGACTAATGCCTCTGTATAAAACATGTCTTTAAAGTAAACCAAGCATTTAAAAATAACCCCACATATTTGCAGAAATGTTACATTTGTGAAACAGTTCAGCAGAAAAGAAGCTAAATTAAATAGCTGCTCGATGCAAATTGTTGGTCTTACTCCAAATAAACCTACTTTAGAAGTCAGATTATACTTTTCTTACACCTTGGCTGTTTTCCTGCTTCAAACTGGGACTATGGAATCCCCCTGTTGTGATGCCATTTCAGATTAAAGCAGTATAAAATGAAAGATTTAGCTGCAACATGTAAAAGCACATAGAAATAATGCACATCTTACGTTACACCAGGGTGAAGATTGTATTTCTTCTTTCCAAATCGGGTCTGCTGCGCAAAGAAATCATAACGCTCTGATTTCTTCCACATGTAATAAAATGCTACACACTCACCAACTGATCGTGTTCGTACCTAGGAAATAGGTGCCATGCAAGGTTGGATGAATTTCAAGATCTTTTTTTGCCAAAAAGCTACCATTTAAATCAAAAGGTGTGAAATTCAAAGTCAATGCTTCTTTAGACAACACAGGTAACAGTGGAAACTATTGACTCAAAATTCCAGAGGCTCAGAAATGGAGATGTAAAGCTTAATATTGTTTTGGAGAATAATGAAGATACCCTGAGGTGCTGCAAGGAACAGCTGCAGGATCAATATTCAAGACTGTTTCACCAGTCTATTCAAGATCCAAGTTAAGACTCTAGGAATGATGTACGCACAGCAGGATTTTTGCACTTTCCTGAACTTTGGGTTCACAGCCATAGTTACAAAGGATTCTGGACTTTGATAAACCAATTTGGACATATATATATATATAGGAAAAAACAGAAGTAGTAAATAATTTGTGAAGGAAATTGAGGACAACATTTTATTTACTATTACATTGCTTTAAATAAAATGTGAGAACTACAATTCAAATCAGTGTTTACCTTATTTGCCTGAATCACATGAAAATCCTTGCCATAGACTTTCAGCCCTTGCTCAAAGTTCCTACATTCTTCTTCTGTCCAAACAGATAATTCTTCTATAGCAAGAAAACACAACGAAGAAAACACTTAACCAAAAAGCATACAGTCAATAGAAGAATATTTAAGTGACAGTTTCTTACACCATCTGCTGACTAAATGAGAGCCACCTCCAGAAACTTCACTTACTGGTACCAAAATGAAATTCTCCCTTCTAGTGAGTAGGTGGGCAATTTGGCTGCCTTTAGTAGCTTGTCAGCAGGGACTGTTATAAACTTCTGCCCTGCCACATGGGGAAAATAATGAGGCAGCAGAAAGAGGAAGAGGGTAAAAACCTGCTCTCACCACTCTGCCCCTACAACCATAGGAAGCAGGTATCCTTCAAGCCAGGCCACAGCACAAAGGAGTTCATGCTGTCGACTCAGACTGGTTGATGGTAGTTGGAAAAAGCAGGGGAAAAGGAACGAGGAATTAGATCTTCTTTACTGCTGGCAAGAGCCAGCAGTGACAGGCTGTTAAATCCAGGCAGGTAGAATAAGCAATTGTGTTGCTCACACTATTGGATGGGAAATCTTGGTCCCACTGAAGCCAGAATAAACCCCTAATAACTTTCAGCTACACTTCTGAGAACTTAATGTAATTTGGCCTTATTGATTGTTAAAGTCAAGAATAAATAAGGTTTAAAATAGTGAGAGAACAAACTAATCTTCTTTATTTGATCATTCTTGTCTTGTGATTTGCACAGGTTTGAAAGCAGAACCAACAGATCAATGTGCAAGGAAAATAACTTGTGTCTTCTCCTAGTTTCTTGTTCCTTTGAGTGTAAGGATCAATACCAAAACAGGAAATGCAGAAGGCTCCAAAAGCATCTTTAAGAGCAGGGTCTTTTTAGTGTTACACTTTGTTAAATAAAAGGTTTAGATGCTCATTCTCCTTTATTTAGAATTGGGCATTATTTAGTTTTATATTTCACATTTGTTCCATTAACTCTGACTGAAAAGGTCTAGAAAAAAACGAAAAAATGTGCCCAAGAAATGCATAATACAGTTGCTAAGAAGTAACTTTAGATTATTACTTGTTATTAAAGTCATCCTCTTACAAATCCTCTTTGAGCAGGTACCTGTTCATATTACATCTGCTGATTACATTCTCCCAGAGAGCAGTAAGAGATTCACTGAAGGTGGCATATAAATGGGCACTAGTATATATGGCTTAGATGCAGTCAAGCTCTAATAAAACTTCTCGGCCTGCTGACAGCAACACCTGTGCAACAAATAAAACCAAAGGCCAACAATATAAACTTAACTTTCAGTGTACGCTCACCTCTGGCTGCTTTGACATTAAATCTCAGCCTTCGTAATGATTCTTCAGTATCAAAATTGCACTTCACCAGTTCGTACAATGCCTGGGAAGATGTAAAAGACACACATTTAACATTCCAGATACTGCTCCATTTACACTGTGCCACAGAAGCATACTTAGTAAATCACTAATTCTTATTAAGATTAAAAATAAACTCTTTGAATGAATGAAATATAATTTAAAACAGCAAAAAGACATATTTTGCCTGTTTCAATTCCCAAGGCTCTAATAACTTAACCAAGAATATCCAGGCAAAGGATTTTAACATTTTTATCCACTGCATACATTTGGAAAATTGATGGTTTCTTTGTAATGAAGAAAACAATAAGTATGCATTCATATAGCTTTAAAAAGATTTATAACTGAAAGAAGCCATCCATACAGAATTATTTATAGTAAAAATAATGCACTCATGCATAAAGCAATATTAAGCCAAAGTTAACAGTTTAATATTTATGGAGAGGTAAAAAACCCATCACATTTCTACTTCCACAAGGAATAATAAAGTTGTTTCAAACACAATTTTAGTTCTTGGGAATGAAATAAAAGGGGATAATTCGTTCTGTGATATTAAACTACAAATCCTCATTATTCTTATATACCTGCTCATTGTCTTTAATATGTGATCCTTCAGGAATTGCATCCAGGCCTTTCTCATCACCCGTACGCCTCGATGCTTCATTTAGGAACTCGATCACTTTATCTTCTGGTAAGAAGTCAGGATTCCAGAGCAGCTGATCATCATTTTCATACACTGAATTAACCACAGGAGAAACACAAGCAGGTTAAAACAATATGGAAGTTTATATCTTACAATGCTAGTGATTATGAAACCTTAGAAGACCATTAGAGCACCAACATGAACCCAGAACACACATAAGGACAGGTAAAAGGGAGTCTCAGGAATGCAGTGATCCAAATAACCAGGATGCTATACCTTACATTGTCTTCAAATCTCTGGTATAATCCATGCTCTAGATTCTAGCACCCATTTATGAAACTCCAAAACTCCACCTCCCCTTTCCTCCTCCTGCAACCAAGAGGTAGCAGCACTACCCAACACAGTCTCTGAATCATCCATCCATCCATCCATCCATCCATCCATCCATCCATCCATCCCATCATACCTTTTCCCTAAGCAGCACAGTTTTGCTGCTGGCAGCCAGCAGACATGGACAACTATTTCAGAAATGAGTATTATCTGTTTTCCTGCAAGCCAGTTGGGATCAGTCACATAACACTAAAAAGCACGACACCAAAAATGATGCTAAAAACACTGCCAGGTGCCTGGACCACTAAATATCAAAGTCTCAGCTAACATGGCTGGCAAAGCCAGCAACAAGGTCCACTGCTTCTCCAGGGAAGATGATTCCACCCAGATTCCAGACATCCTGAAGTCAAGCAGCTCCTGAAAGGAAACTTTGCTAAGATCTTCCTACTACTTCCAAGAAACACATTCTAAAACAAGATCAGTTTGTTGAGTTTTAATGCTACCAAATCTCTGATGTTCTTTCAGAGCTTATACATGAGCTTTCAGTCCAGGGAAGCCACAATAAACATAAATTAACTGGAGAAACATGGCCAAATGATAGATCCTTTGCATTACCTCTCAGTTTTAGTTTTGAAGAGCTTTGCAGGATTAAAACACTAGTACAGCCAAATCAAAGCAAATTCCAGTTATTAAAAAAACTAGAATCAGGAAAGTATCCAGACTTAGCCTGCGGCCCAGTTGTCAATGAAAGATAACCTTACAGAAACCAGCAAGAAAGTAACGTTAACATAGGTTCCATGAGTGTGGTGAGCATCTCTTGACAAGAGAAAGGTGGTATAAAAGCATGGGAAAGCATGGTCACCATGGGAAGGGAAGACACAGCACCATTCTGCGCAGGTGGAATGGTCAGAGCGGTGGGAAGATGCATCTTTACTTGAAAAAAGTATTTTTAACAGGAAAATAGACTACAAATGAAAAACCAAAATTGGTAGGGAGACTTATTAAGTGTCTTACAAAGAAAGACAGTTTCATTTCATGAACAACCCACTCTTTGGAACCAGCTCCCAACCATGTTTTTTGTTTCAAAGCCTAGTCCTAGTCTGGTTGCTCATTCAAGAGAAAGATTCCAGGTATCTCAGGATACAAACTCCAGTAGAAGCAACAATTCTTTCCAGGAGATAACTGATAACCAGTTCTAAGCCACCCTTAATGATGAAGCTACATGCATGGTGATGCTTATGAATGACAGTGACAAGTGAGTCTCAAAGCAACTTTGAGACTTGCAGTTTTCAGAGCTACCCTTTGATTTTCAAGCCCAAGTCTTCTGAAAACTTCTATTTTAATTCCATAGAGTTTTCATAACCTGCACTTCTTTAGTAGCAGCTAATTTGGTCTCCAGACATACTTCTCAAGAGAGCCAGTCCACTGTAATTAGCTCAGTGCAGATTCCATGGTCATGCTTCCCTCACACCAGCGTGTCAGAACACATTCTAAAGAGCAGTGTGGTTATTCTTCAGAGTTCTAGCATTTTTGTGCTGTTGCTTACAGGACTGGGTATGAAAGGGCTAACAACCTTGGTAATTTTACAGTCTGAATTTCCCCTTCATTAGAGAACAACTAAGATGCTGGGATATGCCCATGAAAGTGCTGAATACACAGTCTCACAGACATTTATCTTCCAACTTTCTAAGCTTCATTATTAATATTCCAGTTGGAGTCCTGTCAAAGATTACATCCAAAACACAGCAGAAAGGGAAGAAGTGTCAGAAGATGTATATATATATATATATGGTATATAAAACTGGAAGCATGATCAGTGAATATTTAACTTTTTACCTCAATGGTTTTTGTCCATGACGTAGGTTCTTTGTTCTGCAAAGAGTAGTGTGCAAGCCTATGAAATCCTGTTTTATATGGGTTACTGAAATGCTCAAAGCAGCTATATCTTTTTATTGTTGGAGGCCAGAAGCCATTTAGAGCTGAGTAAGTACCAGGAAAAGCAGGTGACCAGTAAAGCATAATTTACTGCATTTAGGCAAACAACACAATTCAAGCTCTATTTTCAGACAAAAGCAGTAAAGCTTGTAAAGAGCAACTTCTTCACAGCTAAAAAGTAGGTATTTTCTGATTTGTATGTTTAAAGGAAGCTCCTGACTGCTTGCATAGCTTTGAATTCCATTCTCTTCAACCCCTCTGGCTCTTCAGAGCTGACACAATCCTGCTCTGAATGAACAGCAGGATTGATGCTCTTTTGGATACAGTTTTTAGCTAGACCAGGCTATACTGTAGCTACTGCAACCTGGCACTTGGAGGAAGACAATTGCTACTACCCAAGTATATACTCACGTAGTAGAAAGGCACTAAGTTTTCTGCTGGTTAAAGAACTAACTTACACAAAACTACAAAAGAGGCAGCCTCAAACTGACCCGAGTGTAAACAAATACTTACTAATGGACTGAATAAGTATGAACATTTGCTTCTTTTATGCTCACAGCTGCCTTTAAACTGGGTCCACCTTTCCTGACTCGGTTATATTGACAGCACACAGTCAAACACTCTGGCTGTGAGGGGGGAAATGTTCCTGGGGAAAAAAACCCCAAAAGTAGAACAAAAGGTTCTTTTAATTCTGATTGAAGAGTTATAAAGTGTGAAGATCAAAGCTGCTGATACCATTTTGCCTTTTTTAATGCGTTAATCCAATTCCAGCAATGCAATTTCTTTACTATCTGTTTTGTTTTTCATAAATTTGGTGTACATAGAAAGCTTGTGTACATTACCAGATTAGAATACAAGGGTTCAATAAGCTACAGGCCAACAACACAGTCTTTCTTTTCCCCATCCATGACTCAAGCTTTGATGGTGAAGTACAGGATGAACTATAGCTTGAGATGATGGTTCTATTTTCCACCTGAATGAGCCCTTTTATTGTACACGACACATGACATCAACCAGATCTTTTATTTCTCCCCATTAGGAAATTATCTCAAACATAGCAATAAGGGTAATAGTGCCAAGTCTCACCTTTCTCATTCTCTTTGTATTTGCACGTGCCAGCTGGAATTTCAGCTTGAAACATCGAGCCCACCATGATTTCCTGTTTGGAAATAACAGAAACAAGCAGTTAAGCACCGCAGCTGTGATACTTTGTTAGCAAACAAGAGAATAAACACATCTTTTTTTATCCCTTCAAACTTTTGTTGTTCAATATCTAAACCCACAGTCAACAGGCACTATGTGGAAATGGATTTCTTGACTATTTGGGGAGGTCTTTAACACTTCTTACTGTCAAACCTCTGATATTTCTGGGGAAAAACTGGAGAGGATTTGGGTGATCTATAGAGCTCAGAGTTACTAGGTAACAGATCAAATTATTATTCATGAAATACAGACATTTTTTCACAGCACATAGTATTTACCTTTTTCCAGTCTTCTGAGGGAATATAATCTTCATCTTCTTCAGATTCCTCTTCTATTTCACTATCTACAAGAAATTGTTCAACCATTAACACAAAACAAGCTGTGATGGAGCCAGTGCACACCAACACCAGCCTCCCCTCAAAGTGGGCTGACAGAGGGGCCTGGGAGGTCAGAGCCACCTCCTGGGAGCACCCCAGCATGTGTGACAAGGGTATGTATCCCAGCCCCTCATCCCACATCCTCCAGCCACACACAGCCTTGCTCTGCCTCACTACCACCCTACCTAACACCACACCAAGTACAATTGACAGCTTTAGTGACAATGATGATGTTTCAGTATTGGTTACTTTGAAGAATGGCCCAACGTTCACATATAAAATGGATTAAGATACAAAGCAGGTGCTAAGAAGTTAAGGCACAGATAAATCTATCCATAAATTTTACTACTACATAAGTAGTAGTAAAACACAAAGAAGGACATGGAGCTGTTGGAGCGAGTCCAGAGGAGGCCCCGGAGCTGCTGCGAGGGCTGGAGCAGCTCTGCTCTGGAGCCAGGCTGAGAGAGCTGGGCTGGGGCAGCTGGAGAAGAGAAGGCTCCTCAAGGGGACACCTTAGAGCAGCTCCAGGGCCTAAAGGGGCTCCAGGAGACCTGGAGAGGGGCTTTGGACAAGGGATGGAGGGACAGGACAAGGGGAATGGCTTGAACCTGCCAGAGGGGACACTGAGATGAGCTCTGAGGCAGCAGCTCTTCCCTGTGAGGGTGCTGAGGCGCTGGCACAGGGTGCCCAGAGAAGCTGTGGCTGCCCCATCCCTGGCAGTGTTCAAGGCCAGGTTGGACACAGGGGCTTGGAGCAACCTGCTCTAGTGGAAGGTGTCCCTGCCCGGGGCAGGGGTTGGAGCTGGAGGAGCTTTAAGCTCCCTTCAGCCCAAACCATTCTGTGGTTCTATGAACAGTCATTTACTGTGCCTGGACCCCACGTTTGCAGTGTAAACTGCACTGTTACAACACTCAGAGCGGTGCAGTGAAAGAATTCACACTGTCTGAGAACCTGCTTTTTCAAAACTGTAGGAATTTAAACTTTTCCATAGATTTAGTCTTTTAAGAAGAGACTCTCCTTTTACAGAGTCCCTTATCTGCAGAGATTTAGCATTCAGCAACAAATAGGACTCTTTTTTTGCCTGTTATTTTGAGCATAATAAAAATCAAGAACAATGTTACAAAGGAGATTAAACAAACATTTGTGGGTACCAACACGTGTACTTCCGAACCAGAATACCACATTAACTAGAGCTGTTCTTAAGCCAAGGTCAATCCCAGTGAGATGACTGTGTTTAGAGCTGAACTGTACATACTTGTATCAAAATATTTACATCGACGAGGACGAATTATCTCCTGTGGATCTTGAGAAGCAACAGATGGTGCTGGGTCGTCATTAGATGACTGTGTCTCATCCTCCTGTCCTGATGAATCTTTTATGGTCTCCTCCTTAAATACAGAAAAACAAACAGGAGATCAGCTATTCCTTGTGACAAACACTGTTTTGGCAATATTTATTCCAAAATTGTCACTATATCAACCCCAAATACCTCTTACATGACTTGAAGTGACGGTGTAGATTGTGGCCTGTCCAGATTGAGCCACAACAAATGTGTAAACACATTGTATTATTTACTGACCAGGATTTTAAGCAGATCGATTTAACACTCAGAACAACATCCAAATCAGAAACGTGAACCACCATTAAATACCATCCCTAGTTTTTTAAATCACTCAAGCAAATCCTTGTGGGTTTCATTTGATTTCATTTAACTTTAAATCCTACTCTGGTCTTTAAAGCTTTCCTTATGAATTTTCAGTAAAAAGAGGAGGAACTGTTAACTGGCTCTATTTTTCTCAATCAGATGGAAATGGTACCTCCCATAAATATTAATGGCAATCATGTGGTTCAACCCCACAGGAAGAACATTTCACTAGACTCAAGTATGTACATGGTGTCCTTAAAAGAGGAAAAATTAGAACCAGGTTCTTTACTAGAAGATAAACCACAACAACTATGGGAATTATTACCATTAAGGAAAATTAAAATGATAAGGGTTAAAAATATACTAATGTTTTCTATTTCAGTGCATATTGTTAATATCTTTTCTGTGGTTTATGCCTATGCTGTAAGCACTCGGACTTGCTAGTTCGAACACAGAAGCACTGGGCACAGCATGTGTTTATGTCTACCTTTACCAGCAGGCAGAGTATTATCACATGTGCAGCTTAAAGCAGATTAAAAATAGAAAATAGCTAAGTGCAGTATAGCTAAATAAGCTGTAGAAAGATGAGCACTTGCAGAGAAAGCCTGAATGATTTATAAAACCATTCCACCCCCACAGATGTGTTTTACTGCCTCTCTGCTAAGAGCACAGAAGCATTTCAGAGCTCTCATTCTTCTACCCTGAGGCAAACAACCACCACAGGTTAGTAGCTCTCCTTGGGCCCAGTCCGCCCCACCACCTTCATTCCAATCCTATCCAAACTGGGGCAGAATTGGTGAACACACACAACAAAACTACTGTGCCAGATCTGCAACTGGGCTAAACCAGTGGCTGTGTTTGCGGGGCCAGGCTGTGAGTTGGTCCTGCTGATGGGAGAACTGTGCTTGCTTCTGCAGCACAACACAAAGGGTTAGTGCCCTATAGAGGGAGGAAGATGACTCCTCTTCCTGCTAACAAGACACTTGAGATTTTATCTACTGAACAGAAGAGATAGGCAGTATCTTAAATTAGCTGCTAACAGAATGGAGAACTATGGAGGAGGTCATGAGAGCAAAGAAGCTGGAGTTGTGTCAGGAAGTGATTAAGAAATAAGGACATAAGAAGAGAGTGAGACTTCAGGAACACCACCATGCACAACGGGGTGCCCAGAGAAGCTGTGGCTGCCCCATCCCTGGCAGTGTTCAAGGCCAGGTTGGACACAGGGGCTTGGAGCAACCTGCTCTAGTGGAAGGTGTCCCTGCCTGTGGCAGGGGTTGGAGCTGGAGGAGCTTTAAGGTCCCTTCCAACCCAAACCATTCCATGATTCCATGATTTTCATTTTGCATACTTCATGTTATGCACGTTTCTCCCCCTCTCCAGCTTCTTGAAACTTTTCTGATGTAACAGAACTAAGAATCTTCCTTCTTTATGAACTACTCAACCCACACAAACAGCAATCTTTTACAGCATCTGTCAAGGGAGTTTGTAAATCCTAAGAACCTCATTTTCTGAATCAGATGTATCATCCCTCATCTCTATGTCACATTTCAGAGATTCTGAAATGGGTAAGATATAAAAAAACCCAAAAAGCAGCCTTTGAAAAGCCAGATTAGGTAATGCAGCTTCCATTAGTGCCTGAGCTTTTTTGTTGCTGACAATACGAAAGGGGTTGTATTTTAATGGAACTGAGGATGCAGCTCTGAATGCCACCAGTAATGGAGAAGTTACAGCTGTGCCCATGACAGGATTGTTACAAATATGTACAACAGGAGAAAGGTCTAAAATCAGAACATTTATTTTAAGAGCACACAGAACAGGATTTTAAAGATGCTAAATTCAAAAGTATACACTTGGCAAAGACACTTGAAGCATTATCTTCAGTTAACAATTTTAGTACAACCAGGGCTGCCAGGCTGAAAAAATACAATTTAAAATGCTAAAGCCAGGAAAATTGCAGCAACCTCCAGTGCTCTGAGACACATTTAATTCAATTCCACATTGTTCAGGTTCTCCAGATCAGCTTTTCATCCTGGAACAAGGTTTCAGCCATATTTACAAAGGTGTCTTCAGGCATTTAAACCTTCAGTTTTGAAGTCTGACACTTTCTGAAGGACAATTACAATCTCCTTACATGATGCTGCAGGTATAACATGTACTTTAATTTGCATCTGCAACAGTTTGGAATAATACAGATGAAATCACTGCAGCCTTTCAATATCTTAAGGGACCTATAAGAAACCTGGAGAGGGGCTTTGGACAAGGGATGTAGAGACAGGCCAAGGGGAATGGCTTGAACCTGCCAGAGGGGAGATTGAGATGAGCTCTGAGGCAGAAGCTCTTCCCTGTGAGAGTGCTGAGGCGCTGGCACAGGGTGCCCAGAGAAGCTGTGGCTGCCCCATCCCTGGCAGTGTTCAAGGCCAGCTTGGACACAGGGGCTTGGAGCAACCTGCTCTAGTGGAAGGTGTCCCTGCCCGTGGCAGGGGTTGGAACTGGGGGAGCTGTAAGGTCCCTTCAACACAAACCAATCTGGGATTCTGGGATTCTATGAAATTAAGAGCAATGAAGAGAAATACAGACAGTTAATCAAGAATGAACATTAGAATTCAGCACACAAAGAATCTGAAATCAACTATATTACAAATTACTTCTGCCATGATCTGGCATCATGAGGGGTTTTCCAGTACAGAATGACCGTATAAAATCAGGTTCAACCTAATGTAAACACTTACTTTGTTTTCACCACTACAGCCACTGTTGTCATCATTATCAACATCGTCATCATCTTCTCCCTCCTCCTCTTCCTCTTCCTCATCTTCCTCATCATCATCTTCTTGGAGTGGAATGGTACCATCATAGCCATAACGGCTAAGCAGCTCCTGGATCGGCATATCACTTTCCTGGTAAACAGCCAAACAAAGTTTGAGGTTTTAACAGAAATCACATCCCACATCAGTTCTACAGCTTCAAGGTGTGCTCTTTGACCGTAACACAGCAAGCCAGGTAGATAATGACCACCTGTACCATGAATGGCCACTCCAAAGTGAATGGACAGACAAAGTTTTGGCTCCTTCTTTTCTTATGCAGGGTTTATCTTTCCCAATCCTTTATCAATTTACAGCAGACTTCACATACCAACAATCTCTCCAAGGAGCCATAAAGCTCATTAAAAGGACACCAAAGGGCTGTATGCCCCATCCTTCCCTTGGCACTTGTTTACTACTAGTTTACCATAGCACAAGCACTGCAATGTGGCAGGTTACATCTGGTTACACCGTATCCCCTTCAGTACAGGGAGCAAACACACTCCTTCTTGGCATATATATTGGTATTCTCCTTAACGTGCAAAAACTACCTGAAAAAAATGTAGTATTTAGTACATATTTGTAGGAGAAACAGCTAAAATCTGTGTCAGCAGCAACAGCTTCACACACATAAGTAAGATACTGACAGCTGTGGTAGGCAGCACCTTGTCACAGTGCAAAGCAGTGATTTTTCCAGTGTCTCCAAGAATTCAGCAAAATAAGGACCACAACTTGCAGTACCTGGCTTGAACACGGAATTAAATCTTTGGGGAGTTTTGCTATGGGGACAATTCCACACAGTTCTACAACCCTGGCTTTGAATAAAAAATTACACCAAAAACGTACCTCTTTACCATGTACGTCTCCCCATCATGAGCAAAACAAGAAATGAGGGAATGGATGGGGGTGAGGGATCACTTTATGGTCAAGATCACCTGAAGTTCAGGTAAAGACAGCAGTAATATTTACAGATTCATACATTTTAAGGTAGTTGTCTACAAAAAACCATCCACAGTTGAAGCAAATCTGCTAAAATACATATACTATTAAAAGTCTTTATCTTTCAAATGCTGGTTCACTGAAGAGCCATTTCAAATGACACAGCTGGTTCTCAAATTTAGTGGCTCCCAAACTGTTATCAATTGCATTCACTTTATTAATAAAAATTATTAATTGCCAGGTCTGCAAATTACTTAATCACTTTTAATACCTTCACCTCCAGCCCTCAGGGGCAGTATATGGCATCCCTAGGGAGATCTTTCAGAGCAGAAATGCTCTCTTTCAGAGAGCATTTTAACATGATCTCTCTCACAAGATCAAATCCTTTGTTATTTAGAGCTGTCTGCTTGCTGTAAATATTTCTTCTTAGTGTGTAATGTGCATCTTGATCAGATTTTGTTAGTTATTGGCTGACCTTAGTGAATTCCTGTCCTAAAAGCCTTCACTCAACAACACAGCTCTAGTTTCTGGAAATGTAGTAACAATACCAACGACAAAAGGCATGTGTAGTTAGTTCTGCTGTGTAAGAGCAAGAGTAACACAGGGGTGACCAGTACTCATTGTCTGTGTATTTTATTTTACTTCAAAGAACTAAGCCATTCTGCTACTCATTGGTCTACTCTTTGGTTAAGCCATATACACAGCGCCTACTGCACATACACAGCAGATGCAGACCACGTGGACCTAAATGTCCTCACCTCCCTTCTTGACTTATTGGTCCCTATCATATCTAACTGTTAGAAACTAGGTAACAGGCTTCTTACTTATTATATGTCACCTAGAAAAGTGGTATTGTATTTACAACATTTTTCTTACGTAGAGCCTCTCAACTTCAAATAGTCCATTACAACATGAAAAGCTCCAAGGGCCAGCAACTTTCAAAGATAAATACAACTTGTGGTTTCTGTATTGCTTCAGGAGATTGCAAAAAGAGAAAAGGTTAAAAAAGGAACAAGGATTATTGAAGACAAAGGAATTTCTTATGTGGAAGGTGGTTAATAATAAGAAATGGATTGCAACTGATGTGCCTGGAGTGGAGGTAAGAGGGGAGTGATATAATGAAGAACTGTGTCAAAAGCAGCACAAAGAAGGTAAATATAAATGACTCTTCTGATGGAAGAGCTCAGGGGCAGCCACTGAAATGAACACAGAACAGGCTGGAAAACCAAACATGTTTCTCACATTAAACGAACTGTGCAACATTGCTACATCCCTCATAGACACTATGGTTACAGAGACTAAAAATCAAATGGATAAATCCACAGGAGGAGGAAAAATAAGATTGACAGGCATTACAGACATAGAGACAACATCTTTTTCATATGTCCCTGAACTGTACCCTGCTAGAGGCTGGAAGAGTGAAACACTATGTGCTCCCATGTATGGTTCTCTCATTTAAAGACAAGAGATGCTGCTGTATAACCCTAAGAAAGGCCAAGAGCCCTCCCTGAAGAGGGCCCCAAAAGGAGGAACTAAGTGATTATATGGAACAACAAATGGGAAAAGGGAGGGAAAAAAGGCTTACAAATCTGTAATGGAGGGAGGCACCACACACAGCACCCTGCAGTGCTCTCCATAGACATAGATAAAATTCTCCATGTCACACTCCCTCCAGCTTAGCAAAGAGAAGAAGTTTCTGACTGTGCTGGGGTCTGTTCATTTATTATTTCCAAGATGGACTGTGAATGTAGTTTCCTACTACCAAAATCACGCTGCCAAGTTTCCATGTGCTTTGGGAAACTGCAGCGTCAGCATATGCCCAGAACACTGAGAGATGTGCCTCATCCCAGCACACGTTCCTGAGCCCTGTCTCTGAGGCTGCTGAAGAAGGAACACAGGTTATCCAGGATGTTGGTCACATCTGGTGCAGCTGCTACTCCATGACAAAATAGTATTACTGAATACATGTCTGGAAATAGAATCATGGAATGGTTTGGGTTGAAGGGAGCTTAAAGCTCCCCCAGTTCCAACCCCTGCCACGGGCAGGGACACCTTCCACTAGAGCAGGTTGCTCCAAGCCCCTGTGTCCAACCTGGCCTTGAACACTAGGGGTGGGCGCAGCCGCAGCTTCTCTGGGCACCCTGTGCCAGCGCCTCAGCACCCTCACAGGGGAGAGCTTCTGCCTCAGAGCTCATCTCAATCTCCCCTCTGGCAGGTGGACACATGTGATCAAGGTTAGTTGCTGCACCACCTCACAGACAGCTTTCTTGCCCATGAAAAATTCCTTTCAAGAAATATCACTGAAAATCACCAAATCCAATACTTCTGATTCACTAGAGTTTCATCCAATGAGTAGAAAAGATCCTTACCCTCAGAGGAAGGTGTAATTCTTATGTCAGTCAGGAGTGAAACCACCAAGGTTCAAAAATGCTTTTGCAAAACCTGACTGCTACCTCGTCTCTGAAGGAGCTGAACTAGTAAATCAGGCACATTCACAGCCTGGGGGGACTCTGAAATAATACACATAAATTTTTTGGGGGGAAAGAAGACAGGATAGCACTTGTCTTGACAACAGTTCTGAGGTTTAAATTGCCTATCATCCATGACACAAAAAAAACCATCAAAAAGTGAGCAGTGATGTGCAGCCTGCTATCTGCCCCACAAGTAGAGGTAACCATAGGTTTACAGCAAGATTCTTCACTAAAAAACTCTTCCCTGTGAGGGTGCTGAGGCGCTGGCACAGGGTGCCCAGAGGAGCTGTGGCTGCCCCATCCCTGGCGGTGTTCAAGGCCAGGTTGGACACAGGGGCTTGGAGCAACCTGCTCTAGTGGAAGGTGTCCCTGCCCGGGGCAGGGGTTGGAGCTGGAGGCGCTTTAAGCTCCCTTCCAACCCAAACCAGGCTGGGATTCTATGGATCTGTAAGATCCTACTGGCATGGAAGCATCTGAACCTCAGTGAAAGCCCTACCTGCAACATACATACAAAGTGACCACAAGATTCTCTGCCAGTCCATTAGAGCATCCCGCAGAGGAGGGAAGCACTGGAGTAATGTGAATCTGCTGTACCACTGCTCAGTGCCCTGATCACAGAGAGCTGACACATGGAGGAATTACAGACTTGCAGCCTGACAACAAAGATATGAGGACATAAACTGATGGCTGAAAGTCAGTTATAAACAATGCACTGTAATGTGGTGACAGAATTACACAACAGATGTTGACTTTTCACAAAATACGAGGGGAAAAACATGACATAGGTGTGGAGCTCCATTTCTCAATTAATTTAAATGAAGCATATTTAGATTCATAAACTATTTATTTGTCTTTATGTTTACCATTTAATATCAAACTTGAAATTACCTGAAAGAAATTATCATTTACATGTGATATGTAGATTAAATGCACTAAACTAATTTAAAGTCATACTGGCATCATCATTTATACTAAATAGGATTTACACATCAAATATGCATCTGAGAATCATTGATGATCTGTTCTGGAAGCCTTTTCAGCCAATGAGGCCACAGACAGTATCTAAATTACTTTGTATTTCTAATGAGCCTAGTTTGTATTTTAAGTATATTATTCCTGCCTGAGAAGTGATTTAAGACAATAGATAAGTGACCTCAAAATGTCAAATAATTCTTACATGCAATTATTTCAGAAGATACGCGTTTTAAGATTTATGTCTCACTATTAACAGCAGTTAATAGTGAGAAACAAATAGTTAATCAGGAGTTCTGATCCCAGCTCTGCTGACAACTCTTTGCTTTGAGCCAATCATTTCACATGCATCTCCATATCCTCTACCTTAAAAATGAAGATACTCCTTTATGCTCTACTAAAGTATACCAATGTTTGTATAAAAATGCAAAAGAAACGTCAAATTATGAGATTTTTTTTAAATCAATCCATCTGCACTTACCAAGTGCTTTAGAAAATAACACTGGAATATAGAAGTTTAGTCAGAGCACACTTTAACCTGTATTAGCTCTGAAACGCAAATCCTACAGCAGCACATATATGCAAAAAGAAACCAAACAAGCACAGTGTTATACATTATTAAGTATTTAGGTACCAGTTTCCTTTTCTCACCTTTTGAGAACCTCACATTTAGTTCAGCTGCTTTCCCCCATCTATATTATTTACCTATTACTGATTTTGGGGTGTTTTGTTCTTTTTTTTTAAATTTCAAATATAAGGGGTAAAAACCTGCATATGTTTTGTGTGAGGCTGTGGTTATGTTTATGACTACTTAAGGCTACCTACCCTGTTAAGATCCTCTATTTCAGAACTGAAGTTTGTTTCTCCTTCCATCATTTCCTCCTCTTCTAATGTCCGTTCATCATCAAAGTCATGCACCAGCATATCAGCTGATGGATCAAATTCATGGTCATCAGATGTTGCTGAACCTCCTGATAGAAAACATTTTAAAGAATGTTTTTAGTTAGATCATGGCCTCAGAGAGTTTAATGTTTTTATTTTGGTGACATTTTAATACTCAAATTATACTCAGAAATTAAAATATCCTCAAAATCCCTCCCTCATTTAAGCCAGGGAAAGCCAATCTTGTTATTCAGTGGACAGTGAAAGCTGTCCTTTGGGTAGTAGGAGATCATGGGGAAAAGAACCAGGAGATGCTGTTTAACAGCCAGTTCTCGAAGTCCTGCGTATCTGGACATCAGGCCCCTAGTTAAATACTTGTAAAATGTTCATGTTCTGAAGACTTAATTCTTAAATAATCATAAACCTGCCTGACTCAAGAGTTCTACCGGGAGCAGAAATACTCATAAAATATAAACTCAGGGCAGTTGTTTCCTTTATACCTTGGAAGCTTTCTTGTTTTACAGCTACAAAGACAGTCTAACGACTTTTCCATACTTCAAATTTCAAGTAAGCTTCACAGTTATGTAGATTTTATTTATGGTGCAGAATCCTTAGTTATTTTTCCCCCCATGCCTTGTTTTTTCACAGTTCTTTGTAGAGAAGTCTGGTTAGATTTTGTGACAATGAAAACTAAATGAATGGATGAATGGTTTGGCAGATGTAATTCAGCAATATCTGATTTCTAATTCCAACCCTGCAAACATTTTTCCACTTGTCTCCATGGGCAATTTCAATTCCATTTTCCAAAGCTTGTAGAGCTTGCATGTGAAGGGTGCAAGAGGGAGGGCTTGCCTATACAGGTTAATAATACTCTGTAGATGGAAGTGTTTAAAGCACTTGATTGCTTCTCTGCAAGAAGGAAGAGCTCAAGGGACAAGAGCAGTCCAGCTAAAGTAACTACTGGAAAGCTTTTCCACAGTAGGATGCCAAGAAGCTTGGAAATAAATAACACTAAGTACAGTGGGACCAAAGGGAACAGAAAAAACCTCCAGTTATTCATAATTTACACTCAGGCTGACTACTAGATAGCGACTACTGAAACCAGTACTGCCACCAACCTATCCATCAAGTGACATCCTTAGATTACTAACAGGAAGAGACCAACAAAAATCATTTTTCGAGGGTGCTCATAAGTTTAGGAAATATTTAAAGTATTTACCTGGGCTTGAAGACTCAACAGAAGGCTAAAAAAGAAAACACAGGAAATCATTATTTCTATGTTGAACCTGTGCAAACTCAATTCAATAATTCACCCGACACAAAGCAAGTCACAGCAAGTGATGTATTTATAAATAAAGCACCACGAAAAGGCTGAAGCAATTTGAGATAAACAGTAGACATTTCATCCTGTACGTATCAATACTGCTGCAGGGATTTCAGCAACAGTAACTGGAAGAAATGCCCTTTTTGTGATGCAATAATTGAATTGATGAAGGTATAAACTAATTCATTCTGAAAGCAGTGTTACAATTCCACAGTCAGCTTTAGTACGGCATAAATCAGTGCCGTGGCCAGAGGGGGCAACGCTATTTTCTCTCCATCTCTCTCTTCTCATTTCCAATTTTTCCATTATGCCCACACAAAACTGGAAACTGTTAGTAGTGATAGGTTAGTTTTTAGCAGATCCAGCTTTGATTTAACTCCATGTATTAAATCCTCTTTTCCACAGCCAAGGTATATGCCAGATTACACTGACTGGAAGCACAGCTTAAGAGAAATCATTCTTCCTATTTGAAACTGCACGTTACACAATATCCAAATGTTCTATTTAAATGAAGGTGCACACTTAAAAGGTAATCACAAATTACAATGAGAATTCCTCACAGAACAAAAGGAAAAAGACATTTAATCTTGTGATTAAAAACCCAGCTGTGAGAACAACAGAACAAAAATGCCTTTGTAAGCCAGACTTTCTTCCCAAGTACGTTTTAACACAAATTAACATGATCACAGACTACAAAACAACCATGTATTTTTTAAATACAGGGAAAAAAGAGACTTCTAGAACAATTTCTATGTAACAGAGACACCCATTAGCCTACCACGCTGAGTAACTTCACATTTCTAATCAGAACACACATCTTCTTCCATAAAATCCTGCTTTCCCTTGCTTCTAACTTTGCCAGTCTTCAGCCTCCTGGGCTGAGATTTGCATGTCAGACATGCAACCCTCATTTGTTTTGAAAATCCAAGCAAATGGTGCAGCTATTTTCAGGAACAGCCCTAGTGAAGTGCATTTGTCAAAGCTGGAAGACTGATTTTGGCTTCGGAGAGCTGCAGTAGCCCTTTCCCTGTCACCTCCTGCAAACTGAGATATCGTTTGATATCACAGTTCAATTCTAAGCAATAATAATATATAACGTGCAATGCTGCCTTCATGGAAAAATGCCTGCGTTTATTCCTTGGCCAAATGGGAAAACTTCCACTTGCAAATTCATAGGTACTTGTGTACGTGTAATACTCTGGCTGGGTTGTACTCCTACTAGAATTGCAAGAGCTGTACATCCTGAAGTATATGCAAAATTAATACAAGACACTATGTTAGAAACTGGAAAATTTATACTGAAGTAAAAACTTGCACTATTATTCCAAGATTTTCCTTCTCCTTGACTTCATCTTACGAGGCACAAGCTGCTTCCACCCAGAACAGCCGGCCTAGATATGTAATGAAGCAAAAACTAGAAGTTAAAAAACTCTCTGTAATTATGAAGTTCTTTTCTATTAGCAGCTCTACAAGGTGAGAAGAAATCAATGACCAAAAGCCGCTTACATGCTTGCCTGTATTTAGTAAGAGTACAATGCACAAGTTCCTCTTCACAGGGACTCTAGTGGGTAATGGGTTCAAACTGACACAGGGGAGATTTAGGTTGGAGATGAGAAGCTCTTCCCTGTGAGGGTGCTGAGGCGCTGGCACAGGGTGCCCAGAGAAGCTGTGGCTGCCCCATCCCTGGCAGTGTTCAAGGCCAGCTTGGACACAGGGGCTTGGAGCAACCTGCTCTAGTGGAAGGTGTCCCTGCCCGGGGCAGGGGTTGGGACTGGAGGAGCTTTAAGGTCCCCTCAACCCAAACCAGTCCATGGTTCTATGACAAGCCAGTATTTGGATGCAAAGTATGCTGAGACTACTGCACTAGGTCAGTTCTTTGTTAAAAGGGGACCGTGGGATTCCAGGAATACCAGGTAGGGTCGGGCTTCTGAGGGAAAGGAAGCACTCGCTCCACTGTGATTTAAGGGTAGCAGGAGTTCGAGCAGACAGAACCTACCATGGTGTAACAGCAGCAGTTCTGCCCTCATGGGGGAAAAGCCAAACCCAACCCCAAAGGCACAACTTGGCTTCCAGACACTGTTAAGGATCTGGCAACAGCCAGAAAGACTTGTAGGAGGCCTCCTGGACCATGAGCCTCGTGTAAAGGGGAACGAGTATCTCTCCACCTCAACTTAGAAAAGCAGGTTGGAATCCTCGACAAGCAGAACAGGCTCTGCTCTTAACCTCTGCCCTGTAGCAGTGCAGCATCCTCTGGATTCAGATATACCTTGTATGGGTTTATGTGAATGCATTTTTATGTGATCTATGTAGAAATATATAAACGTTGGAGCCTGTTGTTTCAGTCCCACTTCAGGCTTCTGTCAGCCTTTCCAAGTTCTCAAGATGGCAAAGGCATCACTCCCATCTCCAAGGACAAGGATACAGAGACAGCCTCAGCCAAGTGATGGAGCAGACACAAGTGAGGACAAGGACGTGATGGGAGCAGTCAGCACGGATTTACAAAAGGGAATTCATGCCTGACCAGCTCAAAAAGCCTTCCTCGATGAGAAGACTGGCCTGGTGGGTGAAGGGAGCACAGGGGATGCTGCTTGTCTTCACTTAAGCAAGGCTTTCCAAGCCATCTCCCATAGCACACCCTCACAAGCTGATGAAGTAAGCCTGGACAAATAGGGATGTGGATGGAAAACTGGCTGAAAGGCCCAGCTCCAAGGGCTGAGGGACTGGATCATCTGACAAAGGAGAGGCTCAGAGAGCCTGGGCTGCTCCTGGAGAAGAGATGGCTCAGGAGGATCTGACCCATGTCCAGGATCTGATGGAGGGTTGTGAAGGAGCCTGAGCCTATCTCTTCCCAATGGCATCCAGCAACAAGAGTCAATGGGCACAAACTGGAATACATTCAAACATAAGGAAAAGCTTTTCTCACTCTGAAAGTGATGGAACATGTGAACATGTTGCCCCCAGAGGTTGTGGTGTCTGCACTGGAGGCATTCAAAACCAGACTGACAATGGTCCTGGGTAACCTGCTCGAGCTCTCCCACCTCTGACGAATGGGTTGGTCTTGATTACCTCCAGATGTGCCTTCCAGCTGCAACAACTCTGTACCTAAACCTTCCAGTATACATTGCAATGGAGCCTACTGCAATGAAGCACTTTCCTGTTGAGAGTGGACACAAAACCATAGTGTGGCAAAAACCGATCTCATAGAAGTCACTTCAAGAAACAAAGTCCAGCTTTCAGTACTCTGGAGTAGTATGGAGAAGGCAGGTCAGCTCAGGCAAGCACACAGCCTGACATGTAGGCTGAAATACAGCAGTAGCAATCACCTCCTTCCCAGCCTCAGCAGCACTGCTAAAACACTGCAGTGCCAACGGAGCTTGGAATGACCCCCAGGACTTTTGGACAAGTCCAGCTACATAACCAGTACAATCCCAGTCTACAGAAGGGAGAAATACAACCCCCAGACAGATAATCTGTAAACCTCAATCACCTCCAGAAACATTAAGTCCATTTAAGATACCCCACTGAATTCACGTATCTCTTCAGAAGTTCTAGTTCATTCTTTGCCACTGACTTCATGGGCAGCTTTTAGTAACAGCCTCTGGGTCTCCATTCTTTTCTCCCAAGCTTTACCTACCGTATCTGTGGATTACCATCTCTGCCTTTCATATGTTTCTAGTCTAAATGATGCAGTGTCCATCATTCTCTGCCTTCTGTTCCTAGCTAGATGCAGTGTTACATTACATCTCATCTGTATTAATGGCCAGCTGCTGCCAAAAGTAGTATCTGACCTCTTCCCACCACTCCATGTGCTTCTGCCACTTGTGCCAGGTCCAGCAATGAGGAAGCTGCAGCATGTGCTGGTTCAGCAAACCAGTCTCAAAGAAAACTAACCCTAGTTCTTATCCTATCAGTGAGCCAAAGTGCTTCAGCTTGGGTCTCTGCAATCCCCAGTTGTGCTGAAAACAGTCCAGAGCATGGGTCTGGAGTTGTGGCAGGAGATCAGGAGTAACCCTTTCAGTGACAACCTGTTAGCACTGCACATGAGGTGAAAGAGCATCCTACAATTAAAGAGGTAAGACAATTCCTGCAGTGGCTGATTATTCAGTCCTATTCCCTTGCTCCAAGTGATCATGACTCTGGACAGGGCAGGACACACGGCTTCGAGGGCATTTGCTTATGAAAATTCCCTGGCAGTCATTAAAGATCATATGGCTACATTGGTACCATCACATCTCAAGTCCTAAACTATGGTATGTCAGATTTCACAGGAATTCCTGTGAAAAGGATACCCCTGTACTTCAGTGCCTTTTCATTTGCTGCTGCAGCAATACAGAGAAGTACAAAGCACATTTTTTGCCTCAAGGGCACTCATGGGAACAATGAGGTGCTACCTACAGAATGGTATCCAAGGCTCAGGAGACAAAAACTATGGGATACTTACAACATCCAGGCTGACACACTCCAATTGTTCTATGCATTTGATTTTATTCTCAGAAAAGATAACAGTCACCATTTGTTGTGGGTTCAAAAGAATGAAGAATCATTCATTAACTCCTAACTCATGGAAAAACTCAACGGGCTGATGGAATCCTGCTGCATGGATACACCACTGAGCACATTGTTAATGCTCTAGATGAGCAACAGGAAGGAAACGATAGTTCTGAGACAGGAAGAATAAAAACCTGATGGCAAAGAGAAGAAGACAAGACACTGAGCAAAACCTCAGCAGGTTTGGGTGACACTAAAAGGATGTGTCACTGGATTTATTCCATGGGTATTTTGAGGAGTCTCAGGAAAGACATGTAGAGTAGGTGTTTCAAAAGGTCAGTGTCCAAGATCATATACAACACATTGCCCAGTGTGTGGATACAGGAGCAGACAGAACTGAAGTTGGCCAGTCTCTTTCAGATGCCTTTGGACTGT